AATGGTTGTTAAAAATTGTCTTTACATGTAATTGGGGAAAACAAAATACTATATACATATATTCATAATAAAAATAAAAAATTAATTTTATTAATTAAAATTTTACAAAGTGTCCCTCTCCCCCAGAGAGAAGGTGTGGAAGATGGAGCAAGAGTATCTCAGGTCAAGCCTTGGCTCTACTGTGTCTTGCCCATGTGACTTTGGGCATGTCTTTTCACTTCATCAGTTCTTCCTCCCTAAAATTAGGAAGTTGGGCCAGATAACCTCTAGGTTCCTTTTTTGGCACAATATCTCAAACATTCTTTTGGTCCCCTTAAAAAAGATGCCCAACAGTTACAACATCACACTTTTGTGCCACTCATTAAGTGGACACAACAACAAATTCACTGTTGCATCAAACCATAAGAATCATGTGAACCCAGGGCCAAGACACTATCTCTCCTACAGGGGCTGGCTGCATCTATAGAATTGAAGTTCAGGTGATTCTACCTACCATTTCTCAGGTTCCCCCAAGCATTATCTCTTTAACTTTCTCTTAACCCTGCTATCTTATTCAACAATGGCCTCACTCTCTTTTCTTCACTGTGAAGCTTTTTGAAAGACACAGTCTATGTTCAATGTATCTATTTCCCCAACCCCAACTCCCTAAAACTCCCATCATCAGAGGTCATTGACTCCACCAGTCATCAAAGGCATCATGGCACAGGAAAGACAGTGCCGGACAGGAAGTCAGGGCACCTGAGTCTTTGGGTTTATCAGAGGCTAGATTACCATAGTCATTTACAGCTGTGTACCTAATCTATTTCACTAATCCACCATTTTATTTCTTAGCCAGTACCCAATAGTTTAGATGATTACCATTTTATAATATAGTTTGAGGTCTGGTATGGTTAGGTCACCTTCCTTCACATTTTCCCCCATTAATTTCATTGATATTCTTGGCCTTTTATTCTTCCAGATGATTTTTTTTGTTATTTTTTCTAGCCCCAGAAATGAATTTTTTGGGGGTAGTTTTATTGGTATGGTACTGAATAAGTAAATTAATTTTGGTAGAATTGTCATTTTTATTATATTGGCTCATTGGAGGACCTCAACCTCCCCTTCTCAGAACTAAATAAATCTAACCAGAAAATAAACAAGAAAGAAATTAAGAAGGTGAATAGAATTTTAGAAAAGTTAGATATGGTAGATCTCTGGAGAAAATTGAATGGAGGTAGAAAGGAATATACCTTTTTCTCAGTGGTGCATAGCACCTACACAAAAATTGATCATGTATTAGGGCATAAAACCCTCACAATTGGGGCAGCTAGGTGGCACAGTGGATAGAACACCGGCCCTGAAGTCAGGAGTACCTGAGTTCAAATCTGGCCTCAGACCAAACACTTGACACTTACTAGCTGTGTGACCCTGGGCAAGTCACTTAACCCCAATTGCCTAAAAAAAAAAAGTTAAAAAAAACAACCCTCACAATGCAATCTAGAAAGGCAGAAATATTGAATGCATTCTTTTCATATCATGATGCAATAAAAATGCTTAAAACCAACATACTTAAACCATCTGAAACTGGCACAAAGGCATGCAGAACAACTATCCAAAGATGGGGGTGGGGCTCAGAGCACGTGGACTTGCTGTGGACTCCCCACCCCCATCTATTCCCAAACCATTTTTTCTCTCCCTGACATATTCTCACTTTAACCTTTATTCCTCTTTCCTAATCTTTCAAATCCATTACTTAGACTGCCTCCACTTTCCTTTACATTCGAAATTAAAACAAATATACTCACCCCACTTCTGGTCCTGCTTCTCTTCACCTGTTAGAATCACCTACCGATTTACAAATCAAGAGAGCCATTATTTCTCTCATGCCTTTCACAAACAGCTTTTATAATGTTAAAAGACAGAAAAACCCTTATTTCTGCAGTTTTAAACACATTGCCATGATATAAGACATACTGTTGGGAGGGGTGCAAAGACAGCTTTCTAGATTTAATTTAAACATAAAGTACAAACTTTAGCTTTGGGATTTGATTAAACATGAATTCAAATCCTTAGCTTTTCCTTATCTCAGTCTTTGATATCTTGAGCTGTATGCTCTAGATTCTCATCAGTAAAGGCTGCTTGCTGCTCTGATTTCACCTTCCACTAACTTCTGGGAGAGTCTCTTCCTACTTTTTGCTTCTATTACTCATTATCTAACTTTATTCTGGTATCCCAACTTGGTCAATGTTGGCCCCCCCCCCCCAAATGATCTTACTCTCTCACTGAAAGCCTAAGGTGGGAGCTCTTTCCCAACCTTGTCTCTCTAATTACAGACCTTAGAAGTTCCTTAGAAGTTTTTTTTTTTCCTGGCTGCATTTTAAGTCTTTCACCACAAATGCATACGGAGACAGACACAACTTGATTAGACAAAGTGCTCACGAATCTAATTTTTTTGTTGGCTTTTTAGGCTTAGTTTGTTTTAAGATAAGCCAATTTAGCCTTCAACCAATTCACATTAAGATATAATTTATTAGTCAAAATTCAGAGTTATCATATGCCAATTTACCCTGACTGACTTCTAGCTCATAACAGAGGATATCCATCAGTGGAAACCTTTTTTTTTTTTTTTGAGGTCCCCAACCCCAGAGCTACTCAGAGAAAAAAGAAAATGGACTGCAACCTAAAAACAGAAGCTCCAATAGATAAGAAGCAGGGATTTTTGGGACAAATCTTACCTACCCTTCAGGGACTTCAGGAAAACCCACTTCTGTGGGTTCCCAGACCCCAGCTCTGTTGGGGTGAAAGCATATCCCAAAAATCCAAGTCCGAATCCACATCATGGCACCATTAATGTGAACCCCAATTTATTATCTAAGAAAGACAAAATTAGGGTGCATGTATCCATGGTTCAATTTCTCTCAAGCTGGCTTGACATGCATTGCATGGGAGTTCAGTCCAAAACTGGGCCCCCCTAAGGGGGCCAGTTCAGAACTGGCGCAAAAGGGATTTTAGAGTACAGTATTATATACCCTTTCAACAGAGGCTCATATCAACCCGGTATCATTCCAGACCACTCTCAGCCTCCATCTATCTGGGCAGTACTATCTGTCTCCATCTAAGTCTGAGTAGGATAAAATCAATTCAGGTTTGGGTCAGGTTTGACCAGGATAAGAAGATTCAATGCAATCTCATTATCAGTGATGTCCTTCTGAAGAAATTTGTTTGTTTGCTTTTTAGGCAATTGGGGTTAAGTGACTTGCCCAGGGTCACACAGCTAGTAAGTGTCGAGTGTTTGGTCTGAGGCCGGATTTGAACTCAGGTCCTCCTGACTTCAGGGTTGATGTTCTGTCTAATGTGCCACCTAGCTGCCCCTTGAAGAACTTTGAAGCAGAAGGCTGGCAGGGTGGAGCTCTGAGTTTCCAAGACACATTACCAAGATTTTTCACATTTTTCATAGTAAGTTTATCTTGGATTCTGTTTTTCAAATATATTTATCATTTTCTTTCATTTTATTAGGGGAATTTAGCCCAATTGCATTTAGAGATATCATTTTTAGGATTGTTTTTTTCCTTTGGTCATTTTCTCAGAAGGGAGTATGTACTGTCTTATTATTTTTCAAATCAGTTTTATCAATCCAAATGTAACATAAACATTCCACTCAGTTTCTCCACCTAATATTAATATCTTTGTTGGTTACTCCACATTGAAGTTCCCTTTTATCAAAGATAAGGACTTTGTTTCAGTACTGCCCTTCTCCCTCCTTTTTCCTCTTTAGATTTTCTCTATTTTTCTGAAAGACACACTTGAAACTTTGAGTGATTTAGTTGGCATCAGGCTTTGAGAGTTCTTTTAGGATAGTAGTGCAGTAGGAAGGAGTTGATTAGGAGTCCCATGACTTTTTTTTCCTTCCCAGCCCAATGAACAAATTACAAAAGGGAAGAAACAAGAGAGTAAACAAAGTGTTCTGGTCTTAATGTAAAGTGCAAAGAGCATGTCTACTTTGTTACCCTTTTAAGATGTGAGTAATTTCTTCATTCAAGCTTGGTACAATTAGATGGCAGTGAGCCATTGGATGGTCACAGAATTTGCCACACCTAGGGAGGTCTTTTAAAAAGCAAGACACTTTGTCTAGGGAGTCAGCTGAGACAGGAGATATCTCTGAGGACTACCAACTCTGAGAGCAGAGCAAAGAGTCAGTTATAGAAGAAGAAATCTGCCTTTGAGAAGGAACTGTTCTTCATCTCTTCAGGGGTGGGAGAGTACTTCCCTCTCATCCTTCCAAAATTGGCAATTACATCTTGCAGTGAAGCGAACCTTCCATTAGGAGACACTGTATCTAATAGGAGGAAGGCACAGGCATTTAAGGCATGAAACAGTGGAGAGCTATAGCTGGCTCTGCTAGTAGAGATACCACATCTAGGGGAACAGTATGATGACATCACAAGAGAAAAAAAAGGATAGTAGGGACCTGTATTGATGGAGGTTCTAGTTCCTTTAGTCAGTGTGTTAACTACCTGTACTCATCTCCACTAGTTTACTTTATATTTGAATTGACTCTTCCCATTGATTTTGTATATATTTTTGGGAGAGTGTTCCCCCGGTTTATAAGAGAATCTTTTGTAGCTACTTTTCCTATAATGTTTTCTCAGCAAATGTCTTTGCTTTGAGCTAATTTTGTCCACAGGCTGACCACTAAAGTGACTTGTCCTTCCTATGGCATTATATTCAGTTTTTTTCAGGCCATGTTATTTTTGGTTTGATTCCAGAGATGACTGGTGGGTTTCTCCTATTTTCACATTGCTTTCTGGTTCTTATAGATGTGGGAAGTTGAAGCTGAAGTTGCTTTATCTTTGACAAAAATTTCTGCTTTTAAAAGTTTGAGATGTAAGAGGAGGGTGGGAAGAGAGAAGCAGAGACAGAGGGAAATGCACAAACACAGGCACAGAGAAAGACAGAGATAGACCCTTGTAGGCAGCTTCTGTTTTCCTCACCACAGCTTCCTGCTTTTTTTTTTTTTCTAGCTCATTCTGTGACCAGTGGAGGTTGTGAGAACGGCAGGCATGGCTATACCCCAGGTACTGTCCTAATTTCTGAGTGTACTTTGTATCTTCCAGGTAACTTCACATGTAGGATTAAATATACACTTTGAGGCAGAGAGAGAATGGAGATGAAGTGGTTGGAGATGTCAAATAGAGTCTTAAATGCTAAGGGGAACTGTCATTGGGCTTGCCTGTTAGGAGGAGGGGGTTCATGGCTCCATCTATGTAGATATTGGTGAGGGAGGTGGGGACTGGGAGGCAGTCTTACTAATAGACCTCTATAAAGGGCCTCTACTAGCCTTTATCTTTTGCAGCAAGTTGCCTGCAGTGCCAAGAGTCACCCTGGCAAATGTGGTGAAAGGTGAGAAGGGGGTACCAGATGTCAAACCTGACTTGATACGGGGGTGGTTTGGTAAAAAGCAGAGAAGGTTTAGAGGCAGGTGGGTCCATGGATGGCAGATTGTGAGCCAGGACTGGAAACTGAAAATATGAGGGGTTGCAGCCTAATGGTAGGAAGAACTTCCAGGGTAGAATTCGACACTGGCCAGTCAACTCAGGGACAAGGGGTTGAGCCCAAGGAGCTGTTTATAACAAACCTCTTAATATTCTGGACAGTTCTGACATCAGTATTTGTTATGGAATCTCCGAGGAAGAGAAGGCAGCAGTGAGAAATTGGGGGAAGCATGTTTTGAAAGCCCTGATGATTTTGGGCCTCAATGTCAAAAAGGTATGGGGTCATGGGAGTCATGATCTGAGCAGAACCCAGGACCATCTGGATGCTCCGCAGAAGTTTCCCTGAAGTGGATACATTGGATTTGCCTGACTCTTTACTGGACTCAATTCCACCCTTTCCCTCCTTCAATATCCTGCTTTATTGATCTCCGACTCACTGCCTTACCAGGATGTGGACCCTGGTATCTTCCCTCCTGGTACCTTTATAGGTCTTTCTCTTTCCCAGGAACAAATCATTAACCTTTTCCTTTCCTCCTTTCAATGGGATTTCTATCACCCTTCTCTTCTGTCTCCGAGTCCCTACCTGGGGTGTGAGTCCGCAGCTTCTTCCTACCTTCTAGAGTGTAACCTTCTCAATCCCTCGCCCAAATGTGAAGCCTACCTACCATTCCTCCCCCCAGGGTAACATTTCCCTCTCTCACTTCCCTTGCCAGGTATGAACCAGGTAAGCTACTTTCATCTCTTTCTCTACTGTGCCTAGGCCCCTATGGTGTCTGTGCTGGTCTCTGGTGGGGGCCTGAGGGCTGCCGTAGCCTGCCAAGGTATTCTTAGTGAGCTGAGCCATGTGGGACTCCTGGACATGGTCACATACATTGCAGGGGTCTCTGACTCCACCTGGTAAGAACCTCTCAGTGTGTGTGCTGTCTCTGGGAGGGAATCCACAACTCCACTGGGAGGAAGGGAACCTAGATTCATACCCAGGCTCTATGCTCCACAAATCCCCTGCTGTCTCCTGACCACACTTGCTCCATGCATGATGTTGAGCCTACCACCCAGCTGACATTGAAAGGGTTTCTGTGAAGGCGTAATGAATGACAAAGGACTTGGTGAAACTAAAGAACATGAGAGGAAGAATGGGCTTTGTAGATGATAAAGCAGAGTGGTAGCATAAAGCACTTTGGAAACTAACCAGCTGTGTAATTAATGCATTGGGCTGATAGTCAGTGGGTTTTCGGAGTGAAGGGCCATCCTGGCCTTCGTGGACTGCTAAGCACTTGGAAACCATAATAGAAGAGGGGAAGAAGCAAGCATTTCTGGAAGAACTATTGTATGGCTAAGCAATTTTACAAATGCTATCTTGTTGGATCCTCACAGCAACCCTGGGAGGTAGGTGCTATTATCCCCATTTCATAGGTGAGAAAATTAAGGCAGGCAGAGGTGAAGTCACTTACCCATGGGCAGTAAGTATCTGAGATTATATTTAAATTGGGGTCTTCTTGAATCCAGGGTTGGTGCTCTGTGCATTAGGGTGCCCCCTCGTGGCCTGATGGCTTTCTAACTGGTCAGCCTTTTTCACTAGGCAGGGCAGTGAGATGGTTTTCTCATTCTTAGGTGCATGTCCTCCCTCTATACCCAGAGTGATGGGTGGCAGAACTTGGTGAAGGCAGAAAATGAGCTCCGGAGGCGGCTGCAAGACTCCTGGAAGTTCTCTATTGTCCTGGATGGGCTCTGTGAGGCTGCAGAGAGGGATGACAATTCCCTCACTGACTTCTGGTACTATTACTTTGTCTGCTACCTTACAAAGGAAGTAAGCTCTCCATTGGCACCCAGGGGAGCTGGGATCAGGGAGAGGTTTCAACCCGGGGTGAAATTGTTCCTATTCTATCTTCTTATTTAGGTGGTTGCCTCAGCCCAGGCCTCCTGCTTGCTGTTCAGCCGACTGGCATTTATTAAATACCTATCATGTGCCAGATACTGTGCTAAGTGCGAGGGCACCCTTGGGTGACCTAATGTTAACTTATTGGTGGTGAGGGTGGGAGGATCCCTTTCATCATGAACATAGTCAAAAGAGGCCTAGATTTAGAGTCAGGATACCTAGATTCAAATCCCGTCTTTGCTGCTGATTCTCTGTGTGACCCTTGGCAACTACCTTCCCCTATCTTCACCTCAGTTTCGTTACTTGAAAAATGACAAGGTTGGAGTAGCATAGCAAATAATGGTCTAGGGTCCTTTCCAGCTGCAAACCCTGTGAATTGGTAACCTCTTGGCACCTCCTAGTCTGTAAGGGACACAACTCTAATCTTTTTCCATTTCTTTATATTGAAATTTCTTCCTTTTTACCCTATTAGTTTCTAGGTACTTGTCTGTCCCATGTGAGAGAGCAGTCTGAGATGGGGACTACGCCACATCCCATATTCGCCACCATCAACGATGACCTCAGGTCGGGTGGAAAGAAGACTCCAAGTGAGCATTGTCTTGGTATCTCCCCTGGAGGAGACTTAAGGTGGGGTGGCAAGATATCTGTGCAGAAGACCTATTTTGGGCAGTGATGTCAAGCAGTGCCTGGCCAGGGTCACAACCCTGGGAAGATCTATATAGCACGCGGAGCTGAAATCTTTTTGAGGAAAAATTTGCAGAATCTTCACAGCATTTCAGAGTTGGAGGGGATCTCAGTGACTGTCTAGTCTAACCCATACAAGAACAAGAATCCCCACTTCACCATTCCTGACCAGTGGATACATTCCCCTGTTTGACATACAAAGCCCTTTACCGCCTGGCCCCTTCCTACTTTGCCAGTCTTTCCATGCTTAACTCTTCTCCACATACTCCATAATCTAGCAACACTAGCGTATTTGCTCTTCCTTGAATAAGATGTTCCATCTTTCTACTCCTTGCTGCTAGCTGTCCTTTGTGCTTGGAACACTCTCCCTCTTCATCTCCATAGCCTAGTTTCTCTGATTTCCTTCGTTCAGCTCAATCCCCACATTTTAATGGAGATCTTTCTCAGCCCTCCTTACTCCAACAAAGACAGTACCTTTCCCTCTGAGATCACGTTCCATCTCCTCTGTATATATCTAATTATTTTTGTATTGTTTCCACCACTGGGGGCATCATTAGGAGGACCTTACTGTAGTCACTATGAAAGGTAACAAAAGCCTGAGTTAGGATGGTGGCTTTGTCAGTGGAGAGAAGGGGATTCATGCTATTGATGCTGTGAAAGTAGAAATGAAAAGAAATGGTAGCATATTGGATAGGTGAGGTGAATGGGAATGAGGAAATGAGGATGGCAGTTAAGGCTGAATGACTGGAAGGATGATGGTGGATTTGACAGTAATAGGAGAGTACAGAAGATAGGAGGGTTTGGGGAGAATGGTAATGAGTTCTGTTTTAGACCTGTTGAGTTTGAGATATCTAGGCAATGTCCAGTTGGAGATAAGTCATTTGGTGATACAGGACTCAAGCTCAGGAGCCAGATTATGACTGGATATAAAGATCTTGGAGTCAGCCACGTAGAGGTAATAATTTGATCCATGGGAGTTGATAAGATTACCAAACAAGAATGAGCAAAGACTTTCAAAAGCAGTTAAAGGCAACAGAAAGTGTTTTTTTTTTTTTACATATATATAAAAGTTATATTGAAAGAAGCATCCATGAAGGGACAGGACCTTTGGCTTGGGTGGATGGGGCAATGGCAGCTGATAATAGACAAAGCAAAGATACCTAATTCTACTATGATTTCTGTTTCCTCTGCAAAGCAGAATGACATTCATTAGGAATGACTGAACAAAAATGGCTCACAGGGAGGTAGTTCATGGCCAAGATAATTAAGGAGCTAGAAAGAGACCATTTAGCTACCCCTGGTGAATTCCAGTAACCTGGTCCAGGTGACCTCCATCCTTGGGCTCTGAACAAAACAACTAGCAGATGTGGTTGCTAAACCACTGTCTGACTGACATTTGAAACCTCAGTCACACACAAAGAAGGGCCTACACTTGATCTTGCCATTGCCCATGTATGTACCACCTGCATGTTAAGAATTTTAAAATCCCCTTATCTGAGCAGAGACTGTTGGCATTTTGTTTCTTTCTCTCTCCCTTCCCTTACAAAACCCAACTCTCAGTACACACCATGGCCTTCAAACCCACGGCCCTTCAACTACTTTCCAGGCCATCTCCCCTGCACTAGCCACTCTAGTTTTCTCCTCATTTTGATTCCTTAGTGAACCAATTCACGTCAACACTGCCCTCCTTTCTTTAATCCATAGCCTTCTTACCATATTTATGATTACTCCTAGGTAAGCCTCAATCTTGGATGATTCCAGTTATTTGCTGCATTTGCTTCTACACACATGCTGTTGAATGGAGATGGAGAAAACCATGCAACTCTTCTGACTGGTTCCACCATAAATTTATGTTACCCAACTTCAACTAAGCTCTCACTGCCATTAAGGAGTCCTACTATACCTACCTTACCAACTGCCTATCTCACTCTTCACAACAGCTCTTCCAAACCTTTTCATCCTTCCACAAACCTCCCATGGTTCCCTTCCTTCCAGCCTCTCAGCTGAGAACCTTGCCCCATACTTTAATTTTTTCAAAAAATTTATGTATTTCTGTCATTTTTTTCTTTTAAAATTTTGAATTTCAAATTCTCTCCCTTCCTCTCACCACCTTCTTCATTGTCTACTGGACTGAACTGGCCTCTAACCTGTGGATGGCCAGAGCTGAACAGAGCGGGCTAGAGACAGGAGAGATGGGAATCAAACAGAAGTTCAATTTCAAAGTGAGGGAAATAGCTTGCAAGCAAGAACACATGTGGCAGAGTCCTGCCCCTAGAGGGGAGAGGAAAAGCTTTAGTGTGGCTAAACCTTGATACTTACACCAATGGCTAAAGAGTGAGCTGTAGCCCTGATATTAAGGGACAGCAGTTACAATGAGACAAATTGGTTTCATAGCAGGGCTTCATGACCAGCATATGTCTGAACTTGGCTAGCGCTTGAGTGAGCTCAGACAGCACCTGGTGCTGGTCAAAGCAATACAGTAATGATAAGATTTTGCCAGAAGATGAGAGCATCCAGAGGGTGAGCTAAAAGGATTGTTGTTATGCCAAGGTCAGGGCACTTGTTGGTCCTAGCTCTGGAAAGCAGGGTGTCTTCTAATATCTTGGCATTTTCCCCTTTTGGCCACGGGAGGGGATTTCTGGCCAATAAAGGAGAGGCAGGTATGACCCAAGATACCATGACAGACCAGTTGGGCCAGCATAACATATTGCCCAGGGTGTTATTTCCCTGAGGGGACCTATCAGGTAAGTGTGTCCCAGGTATCATTGCTAGCCATTGTTTGCTCACAAGCAGAGAAGAGAGGGGGGCCAAGAAGGTAGAAGGAGAAAATGCCACCACACACTTGCCCTGGTTGGGCACATAATGAAAGGGAAAAGGAGAAAATCTAGGATGGTATACTCAATACTTGTCTTTAATCTTGGAAAAACTGTCTCATCTGGATGCCAGCTTCTTCTGGGTCCATACTAGATGGACCTTGAGGTCCCTGGAGAGTCCTTTCATCCACTCAGGAGCAGGGCCTTTCTTTAGGTGATCCAGGAGTACACACCCACAAGTTTGACAGCTGTGGGAGTAGTCAGAAGGACCTGGTAGGGGCTTTTATTTTATTTTATTTTTATTTTTTAGGCAATTGGGTTTAAGTGACTTGCCCAGGGTCACACAGCTAGTAAGTGTCAAGTGTTTGGTCTGAGGCTGGATTTGAACTCAGGTTCTCCTGACTTCAGGGCCGGTGCTCTATCCTTGCACCACCTAGCTGCCCCATAGGGGCTTTTAGAAACAGTGATTGCCAATTTTCAGATAACACATATAGGTTGCTTGAGATGTACAATTGTGAGAAAACTCCTTGCATCAATATTTGGATCTGAGTTTCTGGTTAGCATGACATAGGTCCTTGGTTAAAAATCCTTAAACAGCACATAGAGATGGTCCAGTTTCCCAGCCAAGCAGGGCTAGGCTCAAGCAATGCAACAAAGTTTTCTCCCAATTCCCATAATTGCATGATGACATTAAGTCAGGCACAGAACAAACAGCCTAGAGGGCTCACAATGGACTAGCTCTGAGAAGGGAGATCAAAATGTCACCAAGGTAACTAAGAAAACGTGACCATCTTAAAGCAAAATACCAAAGCAATACAATAGTTGTCACCGATATCAATCACATCAAGGCTCCTTGTATCCTAGTTATTCATCCTTGATATCCACTCGACCAACACATTTTGAGTCCCAGATGTCTTAGGTACTTATGTGCTCCCTAGACATCTTTTCTTGGACAATAAGTTTTATTCTCAGGACAGCCCTGAAGAGGCTCTGATTCTCTGGTTCCAAATCTAGAGGCTCTTAGTTCTGCTAGTAACAAGACTTAATGAAATCTAGTAAACTTGTTTCTCCAGTCGTAAAACTTCAGTGAATTTCAGTTTATAGGCCATTTGCTCTCTCTCCTTGCCTAAATCCTATACCCAACACAGCAATCTTCTAAAAACTTATGAGGGGGCATAAAAGCAGTGACTTGCTTGAGTTCTCCCCCAAACCCCTCCAAATACCTGTAAAAATGGCTCTAAACAAATTCTAAAGCAGCAGAACCTACACAAAGACAGAATGAAACAAATTTCCAGCTCAAGACAACCTGGATGGTTGATCAGAAAGGTATATTGCACTGGGCTGGGAGAGGAATGCAGTGTGTACATAGGCCTCAGTGAACCTGAAGCAAACCTCAGAGGACTGAGTCATGGGCAGCTGTGGTGGTTTCCAAATCAAGTGTTGTGGAAACACAATCAGGATAATCCAAGATCCAGCAGCTTCTACATTAAAGGACCAGAGGGCATAGAATTTGACACTCCGGAGGGCAAAGGATATAGGATTACAACCAAGAATCACCTACCCAGCAAAACTGAGTATAATGCTTCAGGGGAAAAAATGGTCATTCAGTGAAATAGGGGGTTTTCAAGCATTCTTGATGAAAAGACCAGAGTTGAATAGAAAATTTGACTTTCCAATACAAGACTCAAGAGAAACATGAAGTGGTAAACAAGAAAGAGAAATCATAAGAGACTTATTAAGGATGAACTGTTTACATTCTGCATGGAAAGATGATATTTGTAACTCATGAGACCTTTGTCAGTATTAGAGTAGTTGGAGAGAAAAAATTATACGTATGTATATATGTGTATCTATCTATGTATTTATCGATCTATGTAGATAAATAGAGGACACAAGGTGAGTTGAAGATGAAGGTGGGATATCTGGAGAATAAAATTAAGGGGTGAGAGAAGATTATACTAAGAGAAGAAGAAAGGGAGAGGTAGAATGGGGTAAATTATCTCACATAAAACAGACAAGAAAAGACTTTTGCAGTGGAGAGGAAACGGGAAGATGAGAGGGAATGAGTGTATCTTATTCTCATAGGATTTGGCTTAAGGAGAGAATACCATATACACTCAATTGGGTATG